TGATGAGGAAAAAACAATTATATCATCTAAATATATATAGCAAATTTCATTTTGGTATCCTCTTAATACATTATTCATAACTTTTTGAAAAGTAGCTGGGGCATTTTTCAATCCAAACGGCATACGTAAAAATTCATAATGTCCTGTCTCCGTGGAAAATGCTGTTTTTGGTACATCGGCTGGTTCCATTTCTATCTGATGGAAACCATTTGCTAAATCTAACGTAGTAAAATATTGAGCTCTTCCTAGACCATCTAGAATGTTATCTATTAATGGCAAGGGAAATTTATTTTCTATGGTATTTTCATTTAATTTGCGATAATCTATTACTATTCTATATTTCTTTTGGTTACTTGCATCCATTTTCTTCTCTATTACCCAGATGGGTGAATTAAAAGGCGAATTTGAGTCTTGTATTATTCCATTTTTTAACATATCATTTATTTGTCTACTAACTTCTTTTTTATAAACTTCTGGATATCTATAATTCCTTGTGTAAACCGGAGTATCATTAACTAAATCTATTTTATGCTTTATTTCATTCGTAAAACTAAGGGGCGTTCCGTCTATATAAAAAATATCTCTATATTCATAACATAATTTACTTATGGCTTTGTATTCTTCTTCGTTACAATGATTAAGTCTAAGTTTCTTGAGATTTTCTTTTTGTAGATAATCTATTTCTTCTTCTTCTTCTATGTCCATCTCCTCAATATGATATGACTGAATATTATTTAAATTTTCTTCTTGAATATATTCCGTAAATTTAATTTCCGCTGGAGTTTCTCCTAGGTTACTTATCATAGTAAAAGCGTTGTGATCATTGATATCAATCAAACATGAAGGAATTTCTGCATTTCCGATTTTTGTATAATTTAGTATCGCTGTACCAGATCTTCTGTTAACTGGGACTTTAACTTTTTGAGCAGTTCTTGGTGGTATTATTATTTTACTTGGTTTAAAATATTTTTGTTTCGTTGGGTCTTGTGATGCAAAAAATATGGGAAGAGAAATGGTTGGGGTCTTTAGTTTTGAATCTTTAAAATCAATAATAGCATTGATTTGTGATAAAAAGTTGCATCCTAGCAAACCATCAAAATTAGGAGAGAAATCGAAAAGATAAAATTTATGACAATTTGGATTTCTGAAACTAGGGAATATTGGAATGGTCATAGTTTCATTATGAATTGAAGTAGCGTGTGCAGTATGCACAGCAAATTGCTCAGGAATTATATATTTCGAAAAAAGTTCTTTTGCGAGGTCAGGTCTAAAAAAGCTTTGTTCTGATCCCGTATCTATTAAAAATGTAGCATTAATTTCTGGAATTATTATTTTAGGTAATTTATCATATTGTTTAATCGTATTAAAATTTATGTGGCTGTACTTGTTGAGGCTTGGACTGGAAAATTTTCATCATTATATATTCTTTCATTTTCATTATATCTTCTTAAATTATTATTATTATATATTCTTTCATTATCATTATATCTTTCTTCTCTTACATTATTACTCGTTATTTTATGATTAAATAAATTATTTGGAGAACGTCTATCATTTCTAAAGTTACTTCGTAAACTAAAGTTATTGGAACTTGTATCCATTGGCTCAGGTCGCATTGAATTTCTGCTTTGACTTTGGGTAGGAATAGATGACTGATATCTAGGTATATTTGGAAATTGTCTTGGAAATTGGTTACTATTATTATTATTAAAACCATTGTTCGAAAAACTTGGACGATTTTGAAAATTATTATTTGGATTTCGGAAAAAATTATTATTTCTGTATTGACTAGATAGAACTTTGGGAAGAATGTCGATTTTGAAAATTATTATAATTAAAAAAATTCTGATTTCGAGAAAAATTTCTATTTGGAAATGAAGAGTGTTGGGAATTAATATTTGAATTTCTATTAGAATTATTATAGGATCGAGAATTATTAAAAGTTGAGAGTCTCGTATTATTACTTCGATTTTTGAAAGAAATAAAATTTTCTTCTTCTTTAGCGAAAGCCATTGCTTGTTCTATCGAATCAGGATTCTTTAATCTGACTACTAACTGCATATGATAATTAAGGCCATTTATAAAAGTTTTAAGACAAAGATCTTCATATTGTTGAATTTTTAATATTTTTACATTTAATTGGTCATTAGACATATTAATTTTTGAACAAAGAATGCTTCTAGCATCTTGGATTCTTAAACCAAAATTTTGTGCATTTTCATTTCTTTCTGGTTTCATTGAAATTATATCTTGTACTAAACAATCAATTGATCTCTGATCAGAAAATGTTACTATAAGAGAATCTTTAACTTTTGCCCAAGAATCAAGTTCTGTTCTTGATGCAATAAGGTCTGCTGCTCTGTCAGTTAATTTACTTAAAACAGTATCAAATAGACAAACATTTATAGGATTATTTGCATCTCTATTACTATGATTATTTAAGAAATTTTCACATGATTTAATAAATCTATTTAATTGTTTTGGATTGCCATCAAAATTAGGAATATTATCAGCTTGATATTTAATTAATTGAAAATTAGGTTGAGTCATTTCGTTAAATGTTAAGTTTACTAAATGATCTAAAATATCCTCCACCGTGAATCAAAAAATATATAATATATAGGTAAAAATATGGATATTGGTAAAATAGGAAACACTTACATGAATATTTTCATTTTCTATAGACTTCAGACTATGTTTGTTCCTCCGTCTGCACCAACAGGATTCTGGACGATGCTTGTTCCTTCTCCCTGGTCTTGGCTTCTCCAATAGGTTGTGGACAATGCTTGTTCCTCACCCTGGACGTTTGGCTGTTACCGTACCCGAAAGCTGGATCTTTTCCGTTAATCTTTAAAAAGAAAAATTGTACGCGAAATTCGGCAAGGCTAACACGAACACTTGTACAACTTCGAAAAATCCGAATGACTGCGCCAGTTACGAATGTCAAAACCGAAAACGGATTTTTAAAAAATTTTATTTTCGTAACAAAATTTATTTTTGAGAACGTACAGGTATGGTAACAACTACAAAACAAAAAGCTCTTAATCTAATTAAACACTGCTATATATAGTCTTTCTATATGTCGTCACACATTGGATAATCCAGGGACGTAACTGTGGAACGATATTCCATAAACATTTTGGATAAAAACTCAACACTATCTGTTCTTATTTAATTTCTTACATTTAGTTTTTGTTGGTAATGAAAAAAATAATACCTATCAAAAAACTTTTTGAACGTTATTTTTTTATTTAGATTTGGTGCAATTCCGTTATCTGTAATGGCAACAATGAATTGATTTCTGTACACAGGTTTACATTGGAAAAAAAAGTGTACCAGTTTTATATGACGGAAAGTGTACTTGTGCAAATTGCGGTATTTTATTAATATAAAAAATAAGGTTAGGTCATTCAACTGAAGAATACATACAAACTTCTTTTACCCAGAATGGTTATAGTAATGTTGCTGTTATTGTGGAAATGATCCCACAAGATGACACACACCGAAGAAACTCTATAGAAGGTGCAACAGGAAGCCTAGATACTGATGTCGTTTTTTAAAATCAGGTAGATAATCCTTAAATTATATAAATTGTTGCTATCTTTAATGCCTACTGGTTTAATAATAAAGTAATAAGTCTTATTACCTTTTTGTTGAATATTTTTTATATATGTATAACGCTTAGGTGGTTATAGTTTTAAAATGTCGATTCATTTCTTTTAGAATGTTCCGCCGTTAAATTCAATGAGTTTGCTTGAAGAACAACTTAATGAAACGCATCAAGGCAATCAACAAAATGAAAAAGCAAAGAAGCACGAACTTAGAAAAGCACGTAAGTGCTTCCAATATACTAATTTGTGTCTTTAAAAAACTTAAAATTCCTAAAAGCTTAAAAAACTTTTTCTTCCACTTACATTTTAATTAATTTTTTTAGGAATCAGAAAGTAGCAAGGACGTTTCTGATAATTAATATCTTAATTATAGTCCAGATGAAAACGATAGCGAAGAGGATGAGCCTATTTTAACAGTTACAGAGGAAAAAAAAATAAATCAAGTAAACAAGTGAAACGTATTCAAGATTGAAAGCAACCTACATCTATCACATTTTTATTAAAAAGATTATAAAGAAAAAAAAAAGGCTTATGATGAAGTATGTCCACCAGATGGAAGAGAAATATATAAAAACCAACCCAAAATTGCTAAACAGTTGAAAGATATTGTTCGCGATCACATAAGAAGTATCCCAGCATACACCAGCCGCTATATCCGTAAAAAATTTTCTAGGCATTATCTTAGCCCCGATTTGAATATTTCAAGTATGTATATACTTTATATTGAAAACTACAAAGAAATGATTGTTGCTTGGCTCAAATAATTACAGTACAGAAAAATATTTAATGAAGAATTTAATCTTGATTTACATCATCTTCCAAATGATACATGTGCGAAGTGTGATCGATTAAATCTTCGTCCTAAGTCATATTATAATAAAACAAATATTAGATAAATGAAGTACACGAAAAGATTACAATAGAATAAGATTTAAATAACCTTTTGAAAATAGCTCAAAGCTGCTATAAAAATAAGAAGAAAGATAAAGAAAGAAGTTATATGTCTGTTTTATTTGATTTGGAAAGATGTTTGCCGACTCCCGTCTTGAGGAATGGTGTACCGTTTTACAAAACAGAACTGTGGATCTAGAATCTAAGTGGATTACAGTAAATTATTATTAAGATAATAAATAAATTTTATTTATTATTTTAATTACATGTGTAATTGTAATAGCACGTGGCTAGTCTATGGATGATTCAAATAAACAAAAAAAAAACCGCTGTTAGTTAATCTCTAACTCGGAACTCTATAACCGGGAACTCTTTCACTTTGAGCAAAATTGAACAAGTTTATATGTTGTATAACGGACTCTCCTCATCGCGTAAGTGAACTCTTCCATTGTTCACAGCGCCTTATCAAGGGACTATTGGTAAAGAAAAGCGAAATAAAGGTCGAATATATTTTTAAACAGAAATATATAAAATTTATAATAAATACAGTTAAAAATTTATACGTATAATGGCAAAGGGAGTGAATAATGCATAAATTTGTCCATATACTCAAAGTCTCGAATAGGGATTAAATTTTCTTCTACGGAATGCTCCTTCCAAAAGTCTGCGTCTTCCCGTGATAATTTCTTTAACCATACCTAAAATAATTCAAAATGGTTTTTTTTATCTCCCAAGTCATTAAATAGAAATATTCTTTTTGAACTGATACCGAAATAAAAGCTTATGCGTGCTATATGAAGGTAAAGTTTTATGCTAAATTAATTGACTTTATTGGTTTTATTATGTATATAAAGGATGCAAAATTTAAATTCGTGCACGATTTTAGTTTTCAATATTTTAATAATTTACCAAACCAACTTTCAATGCCAGCTACTCATAACAACAATACTGGATACATTAAAGACACGAAGACCAACTGTCAACACAGTATATTCCTTATTTACATTTCGCAACTGAAGAAGTCTCGAACATTATCAAAGAGCTTTATAATTGGAAATCTGCTGTATCAGACGGAGTTGAAAACCCGCGGGCCAAATAAGTTTTGGAATGTTCATCAGCTTTTATTTCAGTTCATTACATTAGGATCACAGAAAATACCATTATTTTTTACTCAGAAAACCAGCTATCTAATACCGAAGGACTAAAATGACTTCAATCCAGCCAAGTACCGCCAAATTACTTGTCTTTCATCTTTGTACAGTTTGGTTATATCCTGTATAAAGGGATAAAAGGGATTCAGGGATAAAAAAGATAAATGACAAAAAGGTATAATTGTTAAGTAATACAAATATTTATGAAACATAAAAACAAACAACGAAAAGGGTAGATACATCCATCAGCTGAATTCAAACAAATTAAGAATACAGAAATTATAAAAAATACTAAGAGGAAATTAAAAGAAACCTGTACATTGTACATGGCGAAAATGTTATAGTCTATACAACCGTGTATAAAACAAAAGTAAGAAAAAACTTTTTAGAAAAATATTGTATACTAATCTATTACGTAAAAGATCCGTAGGTCGACCAAGAAAAAGAAAAAGAGAAAAAGATGGAAGGATGATGTTAAAGCCCATTTATCTAGAATTGTGGTACACAATGGCAAATATAAGCGCAAGATCGTAGAGGATGGAGGGCGATATTGGATGCGACAAAGGAGTCAAGACAAAATCCAACACAAGGAGTCAAAGAATTTAGTCGAAAAACTTCCGCAAAGAACGCACCAGGTCCAGATAAAATAACAAATGAAGTCCTGAAAAACCTATTGAAGATGGCAATAATGTAACACAATAATAATAAACATAGAATTTAGACACTTCTTATTACGATAGAACTAAGCCCATATGGTTATGGTAGGTAAACCTGGAAACAAGACACATTCCCAAAATTATCGACCAATAAGTATACTCTTGATTACAGTCAGTTTACAATTGACGGAGCAAAAATATTTTATACTAAAATAGAATGATCAAACAAAGTTAAATATCTAGGGGTGATACTGGTCAATAGTCTTCTAGTCTTAGGCCTTTGGGAATGGTATCACACATTCTCAATAACTCGGCTCATAGGGCACAGAGCCACCTTCTCTGTCGCTCATATGAGTAATTCCTGTCTGGCGCGTCCATGTCGCGGGGGTGAGCATCTCTTGCTTCAGTAGACCGGAGGTAGTAGATGGCTAAGTTCAGATAGGGACCCAGTTCCGTGGGGTATAACGCGGCCCCCTTGCCCAGGGATACGGGTGAAGACCACAACGATGATGAAGGTGGAGAATATAGTATTCGGTTCAGTGAATTCAACGGAAGTGGCAACCCTGTTTCTAGGGATAGTATAGAATCAACCTGGTGAAGGGCAGCAGCGATCACCAGTACTAGAATTAGGCGTAAAGGAAATGATCTTAAACCGGCTTCTTACTAGAATACCGTAGGTGAGACTGAAACAGTTAGAGGGTTACGGTACTGCGATGCGGAAAGCAAGTAGGAAACTACCGCATTATATTCCTCAGGACATCCGTCCGTAGATTTTTTCTTGTCATGTTGGAAGAAACAAAACAAACGGCCCCTAGTCCCGGGCAGGCCTTAAATGGCCAAGGGGTGCGAAGAATTTCCCGGTTTCAACTTGATAAGATAATCAAAATTGCTACGTGGAATGTCAGAAGCTTATTTGCAGCAGGCAAACTACAAAATCTAATTCAGGAAATGAACAGAATTAACATCGATATTCTCGGCATAAGCGAATTGCGATGGGAAGGCACAGGCATGATCAATACTACTGGTAAAACCCTTTACTACTCATGCAGTGATAGCACAGACCCTCACCACAGACATGGGGTGGGAGTTCTGATAAGCGAAAATTTGCGGGCCTCCGTGAAGAACTTTGTCCCGATCTCCGAAAGAGTCATACTTATTCAGTTGCATGAAAAAGTTAACATAAATATTATACAAGTCTACGCCCCTACAGCAGACAAGCCAGAAGAAGAACTAGAGCGATTTTATCAACAGCTAGACGAAGCCTTAAAGGTGACTAAGAATCACGAAATTAAGATCGTATTAGGAGACTTTAACGCAAAAATTGGGGAAGGAGCTGTAGATCACGTAGTTGGAAAATATGGTCTTGGTCAGAGAAACGACAGAGGGGACAGATTGATACAGTACTGTCAAGACAAAGATCTAGTCATAATGAATACTTGGTATAAGTTACCACCAAGGAGGCTTTACACATGGAAGTCGCCTTTAGACGGACATCAGGGCATTATTAGGAACCAAATAGATTATGTGACAATTAATAGAAGGTACAGGAATGCTATTACTAAGGTATCTGCATTACCTGGAGCAGACATAGGATCCGACCACAATCCCTTAGTAGCAAATATCAAACTCAGGCTCGCTACAGCTAAAAGAAAACACCAGAAGGCATCAGTAAACATTAGAAAACTCAAAAACAATGAAACAAATAAAGCGTACACAGAGAAAATAAACAATAGGTTCTCTATTATGGCAACTGAGAATGATCTTGAAAAGTCATGGACCACCATAAAAGAATCATTTAATGAGTTGAACAACACTTTTCTACTCGAGAGTAAAACAACTACCAAGAATGAGTGGATGACAGAAGAAATATTAGAGATGATGGAACAACGCAGGCAGTGTAAGATCAGGCAGGACGAAGTATAGTACCGAAATATACACAGTCAAATTCGTAAAGAAATTATAGCGGCGAAGGAGATCTAGATGACTACACTTTGCGCCGAGGCTAAAACCTTTATAAACTCGGCGACAGCTTCAATCTTCACAAGAAAATTAAGGAAATTGCTGGTGTCTTCAAGAAAAAACAAGTTACTGGTATACATAATGACCAAAATGAATTAATAACGGACCCTAGCGATATACTTAATACTTGGAAAATGTACACAGCCAATTTGTTCAATGATGACAGAACACAAAAACCACCACAACTGGGAGACCATTTGTATGGCCCAAGTATTTTGAAAGCTGAAATTGTACACGCTATCAAACTATTAAAAAGTAACAAAACCCCAGGACCAGATGATATGTACGCAGAAACAATCAAGTTACTTAATGAAGAAAACCTAGACATTATTGTCAAGCTCTTTAACGACATCTACGATACGGGCAAGATTCCAAAAGATTGGCTTCGATCTACATTTATCGCCCTACCAAAAACACCACGTGCGAACTTCTGCAAGGACCACCGACTAATAAGCCTAATGAGTCACTTTTTAAAACTTTTCCTGAGAATACTTCACACTAGATTGTTTAAGAAATGTGAAGAGGTCAGTGGATGGAGTCAGTTTGGTTTCAAAAATGGACTTGGCACGAGAGAAGCGATCTTTAGTATGCAAACATTGATACAGAATTGTTTAGATCAAAGAAAGGATGTTTTTATCTGTTTCATCGATTACGAGAAAGCATTCGTTAATGTAAAACACGAATTGATGATAAAATACCTACAAGAGTTGGGATTGGATGCAAAGGATATAAGAATCATCGCCAATCTGTATTGGAATCAGACAGCAACAGTACGTCTTCAAAATTCCAACGAAACAGAAGATTTCTCCATTAAAAAAGGAGTAAGGCAAGGTTGTATACTGTCCCCAATGCTGTTCAATTTATACGTAGAAAAAGCCTTCGCAGAAGCAGTGGAAGACTCTAATAAGGGTATTAAAGTTAACGGCATATTTATTAATAACATCAATGATTATAAGTAGAAATGATTACCCCAACGCAAAGATATATGTCTCTGGAGAAGAAATCTAACAAGTCAGGCAATTCAAATACTTGGGATGTTTGCTGAATGAGGGTTGGGACCCCGAGAATGAAATAAAGAGCAGAGTTGAACAAGCCAGAAATGCTTTTTTAAGGCTTCATAAGTTCCTGACTGATCGCTAATTGGAATTCAACCTCCGATACAAGATGCTTAAGTGTTACGTGTGGCCTATTCTCCTGTACGGAATGGAAGCATGGACGTTAAAGGCCAGTTCCATTAACAAACTTGAAGTGTTTGAAATGTGGTGCCTGCGTCGAATGCTCAGAATATCATGGACGGACAGGGTCAGAAATGAGGAAGTACTCAGAAGAGCGGGCTTACAGGATAGGGAACTTTTTAATTATGTAAAAAGTAAGAAGACTGCATAATTGGGACACATAATACGAGGAGAACGATACACTTTTCAGCAACTGATACTCGAAGGGAAGATAGAGGGTAGGAGAGGTCTCGGACGTAAAAAAATGTCATGGCTGCGCAATATTCGAAAATGGACAGGAATCCACAGCTATGAAATGCTTCGCAATGCTGCTAAAAACAGAATTATTTAATCCAGAATATTTAACATCTCACCTGACAAGACGATGTACGGTGGACGCCTACGCAGAAATGCACGGCACCTTAAGAAGAAGAAGAAGTCTTCTAGTACTTCAGACGTGAAAAACACAACACAATAAATAAGACAAAACTAATCCAGAGTAAGTTATCTGATTTAACATATGAGCGAGATGAGATTAATCAACAGCATTATACTACCGACACTAATGTAAGTCACGACAGCTTAGGAACAAATATGTAAAATAAAAAATAGGTAATGCAAAACAAGAGCACAAGGGTAGCATCGAGGATTCTCTACTTTGTCTATAACAGGTATTTAGTTAGAGAAATAAAACAACCTTCCTTCCAATCTATAAGTTTTAACAGATGCGTAGTGATTATGAATTTTGCGTTTCTTCCACAGATCGTATTACTCTTTTTTCGCTGTTTTTGGTACATCCTATTTTGGGTGGCACGTACTAAATTAACGAATTCGCGTTTAATAACTTCTCGAATATATCAGTCCATCGAGTTAGTGATCGCCCTCGAGCTCTTCTTCCCTCCGGTTTTCCTTGGACTACTACCCTTTCCATATTGTCGTCACGTATTAATTATTCAAAGCATATTTTAAAATAAGATGTAAGAGATAGAGATGCGCAACCTATAGCCTCTCCTATCTAAATGTCAACCTCACCTGCCCATGTAATGGTCTGATCCTGACCAATCGGTGCATCCTGCCAGATAAAAAACGAGGCTCTGACGTCCGAGAGATTGCCGGTATAAGCAATCCCCCCACTTGGCCAACGGCTTCGGGCGGATGAGCTGATAAGTGGAAGGGCACCTTTTTGTCCTGAGATTGGTAAATCGGTCTCGAAGGCGAATGAACCTATTAACAACGTAACGGTCAACGGCATAAAAATGCCGAAGGCAACGGGGAACCACTGCATTAAAGACTTGGAGAGTACCCCTAGTACAATTAACACGACTACGACCAATCGTAGAAACCATATTACTGATCATGGAATTCGGATACCAAGATCCGGCAGAGAAGGACAATCACAAGACGGCAAAGCCTTCTCGGTCGCCAGCAGAAAAAATCCTTGCCATTATAGTCAAAAGATAAACTTCACGACCTGCACATGGAATGTTAAAACATTATATGAGGCAGGCAAGACTCATAATGGAAACGGAACGGAACGGAAATACAGCAATTGCAACATAAACACGATTCATTTAATATGCACAAAAAAGTTAAAGAAGCCGCAGGCTTATACAAACCTAGAAGATTTGGGTGTTTGGCAGATAACTAAGGCAAACCACTGTTAACTGTGGAATAAAAACTAGACACTTGGAAGAATTATGTGGAAGTAACTTTTGAAGATGAAACGCAGAATACCATTGAAGACACTGAATGAAAAACAGGACCCCCGATTAGCATTGAAGAACGTCAGTTATTAAAAGAACTATAGATGGTAAAGCGGTAGGGCCTGACGAGTTTTGTGCAGAATTCCTAAACCTTATGGATGAACAGGAAATAAAATGGATAACATCTGTTTTCAACAACATATACGTAACTGGAAAAATACCCCAAAGCTGGTTAAAGTCGACCTTCGTGACCATACCAAAAAAAGTAAATGCCAAGACATGCGAAGACTAAAGAACAATAAGCCTTATGACCCACTTATTTAACACGTTCTTAAAAGTGATACATGGCAGAATATATAAAAAATGCGAAGAAAACAAAGTACATGGTAGTCAGTAAGCGCGAAATATTAAATACACAGCTTATGGTTAACCAACATCCAATTAAAGAGTGGACAGCTACACATACCTTGGTACCAACATTAACAGCCAATGGGATCACTCCAGTAAAATTAAACAACGCATAGGAAAAGCGAGATCAGCGTTCATAATGATGAAGTCTCTTTTCAAAAGTCACGATTTACCACTTGCTACCAAAATCTTTATCATTAGATGCTATTTATTTTCTACGTTATTATACGGAGTGGTGTTACAGACGTTATTTAAGAATTTCATGGGTGGATCGTGTGACTAATGTTGAGGTCCTTCGTAGAATAGGCAAGAAATGCGAGATTATTAACACTATCAAAGAGCGCAAACTAGAATATCTTGGCCATGTTATGAGGAATGAACAGAGATACGGCTTGTTGCAACTCATTCTTCAGGACAATGTATTTGGAAAGAGAAGACCAGGGAGAAACAGAATATCTTGGCTTCAAAACCTAAGAAAGTGGTTTAATACATCGACAACCGGACTATTCAGAATAGCAGCAAGCAAAGTTAGGATAGCCATGTTGATCGCCAACATCTGGAACGGATAGGCACCGTAAGAAGAAGAAAAAGATATTTTAAAATGTATGGGACTGAAGAACACACCTATTTTTTTTCTGATAGTCCAAGGAATTTGATACATCCATCACCACGTCTTAAATATATAAATTTTTTGCTATCTGCTGTTCGGTTGGTCCACGTTTGAGAGGCACAGCTAAATATTGGAAAAACCAGTGTTTGCACAATATTGATATTAGTGTTTTTGTGTTATGTGTGTGTTGTTTCATTTTCATATTTTAGTAAGGTTGAAGATAACGATTTTACTCATTTGTACACATCATCGAATTTCCTGTTCACTGCTCCCATTGTTATTGACAGACAACAAAAACAGACGATAAAATAAACAGCAGATATGATGAACACGGAGACGCGAAAATGATTCAATGACTTGGGATACCACCACAGCCGTATCTTTAGGAAATTCACAAACTACGACAAAAACATCAGAGGAAAACATAAAGACCGAAAAGTTAAAATAGATCAAGAATAATACTCCAGGTTATAAAGATATATGTAGTTAGTAATAGGTGCACATATATCAAATATATTCAGATGAATGAAATTTGAATTCAGATCATTCTTCCATCCTTCTAACAATAAGTGAAGAAGCGATACAAAAGCAGATATCTCCTAGGATAGTTAACTTCTTCTTCTTCTTTTTATGTACACATGAATCTGTCTGTTTTTCAATGTACCTCCAGTAAGTTGTCGTTCCACAGTTTCCGTGGTCTTTCTACTGATCTTCTTTCTATTAGGGAACAATCTCTTGCTGTCTTTACTACTCTATTTGTTGTCATTCGGCTTATATGATCATTTCATTCTGCTGTTTTATTTCTTATCCAGTTCTTGATGTTCTCCACCTTGCATCTACATCGTAAATCTGTACTAGCTCTGTCCCATAATATCTTACATCTTTGCCGTTTCTTTGCAATTTTTCATCTTTGCTGTTTCTAACATCCATTTTGTCTTCTCTGTGTCAGGTCGTGTTTCTGCCTCATATGTCATTATTGGTCTGATGACTGTTTTGTAAATTCTTTTACATTGTAGTAAATTTGCTGTTATAGCCATGCATTTTGTCCTTTTTGAGGAAATTAACATTTTCTGGTATTGGTGCAGCATACTTGTTGACATAACAGAATATTTTAAGTTGTTTTTCTCACATTTTGTGTTTTTTAGTTCTTCTTCTTCTTCTTCATGTACCATGTCCTTTTAGAACGTTGCCTTATTATAAATATAGCGTCGGTGTATGATCTTTCCGACCTGATACCTTGTCGTTCAATACTACTTATCTGTTGTTTAATTGTACTTATATTTGTGATATGATTTTATTCAGTTTGTTTGTTATCACTTTGGTTGTTAATTTTAGTATTGTGTTTAATAATCATTGGAAAAAATTGAGAATTAAAATTAATAATACATAATCAGTGCATGTTAATTTCACATATAAAAGAGAACGATATCAGCCTGTTAAAAGAGATAACATTTAAGTGCTTGTTGATGAGTTAGCAAAATATTTGGGGTTACATGTGCATAAGAGACTGCGTTGGAAAGTCAGCATTAAAAGGAAAATGGGAGAACTCAACATAAAATTTAGAAAGAAAAATGGGATGCGTGGAAAAAATTTTAAACTATCCTTTGATAACAGGATAACACACTTTTTGTGTGTTAACACACAAAACACACTACTATTTTACAAATCCTAAGACAAATATGAACAAACGGTGTACACTTCAGGGAACGCACTAGTAAAAATATCATAGAAGTATAAAATGTCTCAGATAATTTTAATAAGCAGCGTTGATGTTCCACTGTCCGTAAAAAACAACTGCATCCAACATGATCTGAAGACGAAGACAGTAGAACAAATAATTGCCAAATGTACCAGCATACATGACAACATCTGCTACAATATGTGAATATCGAGGCCATTTAACTACTCGACAACACAGTTATAAAAAAAGACGTAAGAGGGCAAAAACTTTGTTAGTAAAGTAAAAGTAGTTAGTGTGAAAGCAGAGCTTTGTGCGAGCCTAATATACCATTGTAAATTATAGATATTTCCGTAAGTGAGTTAGTACCTATAGAAATATTACGGAATGAAACAATGATTTTTAATATGACAACTGTAACAATTTAGATTAGAACAGACTACTTCCTTTCTGACCTGTTGATAAAGTTGCCTTCTCTACCGATTGTATATTAGCCATACTGCTGTGTTAACCGCTACCACAAATGTTGCCATGCCGAAAATCTTGATAATGGAGATATTTGATACCTGATTGAGAGCATATGTGACTTTTTCACTGTTTCTCGCCTTGTTGATTAAAATTTGTTCGTCTTTTTTTTCTCTTGGAAATTTCCCATATCTTCAATCCCTTACATAATAAAGGCTTTATTTATTTACGGGTTATAGCAAACGGCACAAGATTGCTGTTTTATGTTAGGGAAAAAAAAATTTCAATTGAAACCCTTAAAAAAAAACTAATTAAATTTTGTGAGGTATCCTACCACAACATAATGACTTTAAAACTTTTCGCAGTCGCGACTTCTACCACAAAAATAATGTCATTGCTTTGTGTCTTGTTAACTTTGTATCTATATCTTTAACAATAAGTATCATATATACAAAGAATATATATCACAACGAGTATCTCATATATCAGGTACAGACTTGGTTCGTTATAGACCTAATTCTCTAGATTCCAAACTACATTATTCTTTTGCGAAACTTCGGTTGGTCAGATATTAAAAGTAAATGATGCTTTATATCACCACCTCATCATCGTCTACCCTTTAGTTTCAATTTTGAGAAAAAACGGTTACAGAAGGAAAAATAAATTACTAGTTGTAGTCATTTAAAATATACCATTTCACTATGTCTGATAAAACCACCATCAATTTCGTTATAATGTGCGTCTGCATGTTTCTTTGCAATTCTTAATAGTTTCATGGCTCCCTTATAATCATTATATTTTACAATTCGATAGTATCCCTTCATATGATATAATCTAAAACAGAAAATGTATTAAAATATATTCTATTAATTTGTGATATATATATATATATATATATATATATATATATATAATATAATAATATATATATATATATATATATATATAAATATATATATATATATATATATATATATATATATATATATATATATATATATATATCTTATAATGAGAACAGATATACAATAAATTAACATAGAAATATATACAACCAGATATACAATGTTAATTAATAAATTTATTTAAATAGTAATTAAAGATATAATTTATAAGTTATATACTAGATAATATTATTAAAAAATAATTATATGAGGGTATTTTTAAGAATTTAGCATAAGAATTAAGTTTAAGAAGTTTTTTTATGTTATTTTATTTAATATTAGATATGTTTAAGTCAGCCAGGTGCATATGCAACCAAACATACACTGTGTTCTTTGACGTTTAGATGGAAAAGTGGGGTTATTTATTTTTGTAATGTTAATTTAGAATATAATTGTGGATGTAAAATGGTAAAAATATATTTAATATAAATGTTTAAGTTACATTTATAATAGAGTAATTCTGATCTGGAGAGCCTAAAGTCAAGTAAATTGTACATAGAAAATTCTAGAAATGTCAATGGGACTATTTGCATAATACATCACAGACAAAAAACGATTCCATTTATTCCAGAATGTTCAGATAGAAAAAATAAAATAATGATTCGAACATTATTCATTGCTACATTATTCTGGAAACGAAAAAAGATATATATATATACCATGTAATTCGGAGCGGGAGCAGTCAGTATGATCAGTTATCAGTTAGAAGTCAGTTAGTTAGTTAGTTAGTTAGTTAGTTACAGTTGATTAATCAGTTAGTAAAGTGAGTCAGTAAAGTTATAATTCAAGAATTTAGTTACAAGAAGATTATTAATTGAGTTAAGTGAGTTAGTTAGAAGAAATTAAATCAGTTACAAGATTATTATTGAGGAGTTAGTTATAACAATTCAAGGATTATTAAGTCAATTACATGTGATTATTAATTAAAAAGAAGAATTAACAAGAATTTATGAGGTTATGAAGAGATTATTAGCTAGAAGAAGGGATTGATTAAGTTAAATGAATTATTAAGTCTAATACAGTTGAGATTAATTATTACTACAGTAATATAGTGATAGTATGAAGTTAATTCATTGAAGTAAGCATTCAATAATACAACCACAAGATCCAGTATATTTGAAAGTACATTATATGGAAATTACAAGAATATAAATTTATATATTTATATGGTGGGTGGAGATAATTAAGAAGAAACATATTAAAATTGTTGGATAACCAAGGCTGAGTAAGAAAATATCGAGTGGTGATAACTTTAATTTTGGAAAAACTTTAGGCGTTTAGTGAAAGAAGGTACCAAATTTTGTTAATAATTTAATAATTGTAAGAATTTCAAATTTTAGATAGATTGTTTTAAATTGATATTGCTTATATTAGATAGATATGTTTGTTTCATAATAGTTATAATAAAGATAAATAATTTAAAAAAGTACTTACAAACTAATTCTTTGAGAACCGCGATAAAAACCCTATACTTACATATATCATTCAAATTTACTCATAGCTCATACAGAAACAACACATCATAACAATATATATATATATATATATATATATATATATATATATATATATATATATATATATATACAGTGGAACCTCGATTATCCGTCAGGGCACCGGACTAAGGGTATGACGGATAATCGAAAAGACGGTTAACAGAACATAAAAAAAATTCATAGTATAACTCTCAAATTTTATTTGTATGTTTTATTCGACAATATAAGAGGGATTTATTTTGCAACGGCTGAATTTCTTAATCGACGTAAAATCATTAAATCTACCTTATTTGCTTCTTCTTGCCGAGAATACCACTTGATGAATTGTATGTGCGATGCAGCTCCTCTAGCTTCTTTACGCAAATCTTTGTGAGTTGTAATAGCATCATCAACATTGCTACTATCAAAGTCGGCTTCTGAATCAGTTTGATCCGCCTCTGTTGCCATTTCAACGATTTTATCGTCTGACAGCAATCGATAGCCGTTTGCGTCCTCATCACAAATTAACCATTCGTTTATTTCATCTTTAGGCAACGAAAACAAAACAGTAGATTCAGCCATAACTTCATTTAAGGGAAGCAGTTGATTCAAGCCATAATTTATTCCAGGCTCTTTTCAGTGTTACTTTCGAAACATCAGTCCAAGCATCCACAGCATTGTCGACTGCATGTTTTAAATTGTATGCTTTCCAGCATTCTGGCAAAGGATATTACTCTTCCATAACTAGGTTTTGAATAAATTTTTTCCTGTTTCTGTTTTGAATGGGTTAATGACCGAATGATCCATTATTTGTATCAATGATGAATTCGCAGGCAGAAAAGTGTACGCCGGTATACTGCGGAGTGACGTTTATCGTCACTCCGCAGCATACCGGCTTTAGGATGGGCTGGTGCATTGTCCAAAATGAGAATCGCCTTTGGTCGAAATTTTTTTGCAAACAAAATGAAGATGACTAAATTTTTTACTTATGTTTTCAATATAACTTATGCATGGACCCTGACGGTTAACAGAGGTGACGGTTAATAGAGAGACGGATAATCGAGGTTCCACTGTATATCCAAAAAATTTTCAATAGTTGAATAGCAGAGGTTTTATCGGTCAATAATTGGCAAATGAAAGTCGTCAACTACTTCATTGATTTATTAGAATACGTTTCGCTTTTATTTTTAAAAGCGTCATCAGTTCACTACAAATAAAAATGTACTAATATTTTTACTATCGCTATGCTCAATATTAATATCCTCCCCTTATCATATTGCTCCTACAGTTATTATGCTTAATACCCATATTCTTACATATCACAAGTCATATTATGAATACAGTATTTATCATTTATATGAGTAACACTATTCTTATTACTACTTTTTTGTTCTCTAGATGGTGAAGTTGTGTTAATATTGTCGTTGAAGATTAGTTGTGATATGATCATATCTGAGTTTATCATAAAGATGGATGGTGAATATTTAATACATAACTCGACCTACATAGTCGAGCGATAAACAATTATTTTCATTAAAGCTATCTGAGCAAAAAATTATGTATATCTTGTTTTAATCAAAACAGAACTTTGATCAAAAATAAAAAAATATATATAAAATTACAGGTAACAATAATTAATAAAATCAAAGAATATGCTCTATATATCCACCACCAACGTCTCCACCACAACCATCTCTACATAACGTACCTAACTCTTCTTCTTATTGATTCTATACCATTGTTTAGGACCTATGGAATAGTATATGTAATTTTTCAAATAATTGTCTATTTTTTGTCTAAAATCTTTCAAATCCGCTACAGCAGACTTAAAAATCAAATTTTTTAAATGTGGCCACAGAAAGAAATCGCAGGGAGTAAAAATTACAGGATTGATGAGGGAATATAATAGGCGTATTTAAACTTAAGATCCTATTGTAGAAAAAGTCCATGTTAAAATTCAAATTTTTGCAGCTTTTTTGAAGAATTCGAACCCCGCCTTACTGAAGGCAAGATCTTCTTATGGAAGGCTTTTAAGGTTTGGAAGATTTCACAAAGAGGCTCTCTTTCAGACGCCAATCCTATACAACAGATCCTTTCGAGTTCCAACAACAGTTTATGCAGATGTTCCTTGATGATCATGCAACCTGTCTCTCGTATCCCTGACGAATATTCTCCTAAGGGCTTTAACAGTCTGATGCTTATTGATGTAAATTCAAACTTAATAAAATGAAGTCTGAAATAGTTAAATTTTGTGATATGGCGGACCAGTCCAAATCACCAAAACGAGAGAATAAGTGACCAGAAAGTGCTTCTTTTAAAATATCGGTTATAGCTCAGTCTGGTTAAAAAAAGGTCGAAAAATGTTTTGCAGATATCTGAAGCTTTTAAGACATAAGTGGCGGTTACTAGATGACGAATAGATGTAAAGATAATCCTATTTTTACCTTGCGTTTTTTTAAACAATAATTTATGGTCACAATTTGATTATTTTTATAAATATTTTTATTTTCCCTCTTTTTTAATTAAAATTAATAAATAATTTACGGAGATATTTACAAAAAAGCAGTATTCTGGATTTTGGAAATTTCATAGATCTCTTTGAGACTTACACTATCTCAGAAGCTAAATGCTTATTGCGTTTTCATCGAAATTATTTACAAAATAAACGTTTGAAAAAGGAGTATGTCCTTTTAACTAATAAACAATTGTCATAACTTCTATATATATATATATATATATATATATATATATATATATATATATATATATGTAACATTCACTCGCCGTCAGAAGAAAAAGATATTAAAGTAAAAGAGGATTTCTACTGTGAAGTTAATAGGGTATTTGAAAGTATTCCAAGATATGACATTAAAGTAGTACTGGGTGACGCAAATGCAAAGATAGGAGAAGAAGAAATATATAGAACAACTATAGGAAAATTTAGCAAACATGAGGAAAGTAATGAGAACGGGCAGTTTCTGATAGATTTTGCCAAAGAAAAAAATATGCTAGTAATGAGTACATATTTCGAGAGGAAAACTATCTACAAAGCAACATGGCGATCCCCAGATGGAAGAACATTAAATCAAATTGACCTTGTACTAATAGAGAGAGAAGACCGAAAATATATAAAGAACGTGCGAACATACAGAGGACCAGACGCTGACTCGGATCACTTCATGTTAGGAATTAAAATGGCTCAACTTATACCAGAAGAAAAAAATCGCAAAAGAAAAAATAAGAACACAATTAAACCAGTGCGGCTTGTAACGCAAGAAGAACAAGAAATGTATAGAAAAGGTATCGATAGAAAATTACATAAAATACACCTAGAAGGGCACATAGACAAGGACTGGGACAAAATTCAGCAGGTTATCAGTAATACAGCTAAAGAATGCAATAAAAATTTAACCAAAAAGAAAAAGGATTGGTTTGACGAAGAATGCCAGAAGAAAATTGAAGAAAGAAGTAAACTAAGGATGGATATGATCAAAAGTGATACGAAAGAAATAAGAAACAGATATGAAAAACAAAGAAAAATCATAAAAAAAGTTTTGAGAATGAAAAAGAGAAAGTACATGGAAAATCAGCTGAAAGAAATAGAAGAAAATTACAAAAATCGAAAAATTAGAAATTTATATCAGGGAGTAAAAAATGAAAAACGAAGATACCAACAGAAAACAATATTTTACAAAGATAAATAGGGAAACGCCATGAGTGGAGAAAATGAAATAGCCGCTAGATAGAAAGAATACTTCGATGAATTGCTAAATGACGAAAACATGATAGAACAGCCACAGCCTATAAGAACGGAGAAACATAGGAACCAAATAAATGAGACAGAAGAAACACCCTCTACCAGAAACGAGATAAAGGAAATAATAAAGAAATTAAAAAATAACAAGAGTCCAGGAAGTGGTAATATAACTGCAGAGATGTTCAAATATGAAGGAATAACGCTAGAGGAGCAAATGTTCAAATTAATAAAGGAGATTTGGATTAAAGAACAACTACCACAAGAATGGACAGATGCAATTATATGCCCACTTTATAAGAAAGGCGATAGGACAGATTGTCAAAATTACAGGGGGATATCACTATTGAATACTGCATAAAAAATTCTTGCAGCGTGTATAAAGGACAAATTGGCAGGAGTGATAGAAAACATTGTCGGCGAGTACCAATGTGGCTTCAGACCTGGTAGAAGTACAACAGATCAGATATTTACGCTCAGAGAATTGCAAGCGGAAAGTTACCAACACAATCTGCCGACAAGGGTCCTCTTCATTGATTTCAAACAAGCGTACGATAGAATAAAACGGAACCAAATGAGCAAAGCACTAGAAGAATTGGGTATCAGTAGAAAACTTATAAGAATGGTACAAATAACGTTGTCCAAGACTGAGTGCAGAGTTAAAATAAATAATATAATGTCGGAAAAATTTGAGAGTAAGGCAAGGAGATCCCCTATCATCGATACTATTCAGCTTGTGTTTGGAAAAGGTCATACAAGATGCAAATGTCAACAAAGAGGGATTGTTATACCAAAGAAAGCACCAATGTCTAGCCTTTGCTGACGATGTAGTAATACTGGCACGAAGCAAATGGGAGCTACAAGATAGTAAAGAGGCTAGATAGAGAGGCAAAGAAAATAGGCTTAACCATCAACGAAAGTAAGACAAAATACATGGAATGGATAGATGACAGTGAACAAAAATGAAGAAAATTTAAAAATAGAAGTAGAGGGTGAAAAAGCATCTATATTTGAAGCAGTGGAAAGATTTACATAACTGGGGTCGATGTTCACATGCAAAACAAATATTAGAGAGAAGCTCCAATCAACAATAATGGCAGGAAACCGATGCGTGTACTTATTAAACAGGCTATTAAAAAGAAAGTAAACAGATATCTAGGAATGCCAAAATAAGAATTTACAAAACAGTTATACAACCAGTGGTAACCTACACCAGTGAATTGTGGACATTAAACAAAGGCGAAACAGGTATGCTCTAAATATGGGAAAGGAAGGTTTTGAGAAAGATATTTGGAGGCAAGATAGTAGACAATACATGGAAAAGAAGAACAAATAAAGAATTAGAAGATATGTACAAGAATCCTAGTATAGTGGGAGTAGTAATGGCTCAGAGACTCAGGTGGCTAGGGCACATAGAAAAAATGACAAATTCTCGAGTACCAAAAATGATTCTGATGCATACAATGGGTACAAAAAAAAGGAGAGGAAGGCCGAGAAGTAGATGGAAGCAAGAAGTAGAGAAACACCTAGAAACACTGGGAATAGAAATGGGCCTACTAGGCTCGTAGTGCTATTATATATATATATATATATATATATATATATATATATATATATATATATATATAATAACTTCTATATATTTCAAGCGACGCACTTGAACGTATAACCATTGGATAGCTGGTAAAAAAACTCACTTCACTAAAAAATTAAAAAAGCTTGTATGACCAATAGGAACAAAGTTGACGACTATTTAAAAAAAAAATCATATCTCCATTGTTTATAAACATTCAGAAGTAAAATTTGCACAAATTTTGAATGAGAAAAATCTAAACTTTATATTGAAACTTATAGCCATTCAAAAACGAAGGTACTTTCGAAAGATCGACATAGGAAAGTGGAGAGGATAACTGTTTCAGCTCCATTTTTTTTTTCGACAGGAAAAATTTACATTATCTCGGCTTCCATTGCAGGTGGAAGCCTTTTTTTTATTCTGGTGTAGCTCGTCGAAATATGAATAACTACAGTTTTCACTTGCCGGAAAGTATGAGAAACCTCGGAAAAATTCCATTTGAAATTCACGGTAAAAACTTACTTTTTTTTTTAATTTGGCTGGAATAGTCTGTCACAGTATTAATAATGATGACATGACTTTACTTTTTTTATTTTCATTACATACACTGGTTTAAAAGTTAAAATTTGGTTCATTCATTTGACTTCACTGTCAGCTCTGAACCTTAATCGTATTTCTAAAATCTGTAAAAACTTTTTATTTTATTAAGTTAAAATACGGTTATAGATTCGTCGGTTTGTCTGTCCGATGTATGTAGGTACGTGGGCAACTGGAACAAGGTATCTCGTAGACACCATGGTCTTCATTAGGGATTTGGTCTTTTACGGATCTGACGAGCTTGGACAACTTGGAGTGAGTAGTGAAGATGGTTTTGATGTTTAGAGGAAGAAGAGTTCTACTGATCTTGTCAGTAACACCTTTAATAAAAGGTAGAAAGATTTTGGGTTGATCCGGCGGCAAGGTTTCTTTTTTAATGGAATGGGGTTTAGATGTTTTTAAATGCTCTTATTGATTTGTGTTTTGTGGTAGCCGTTTTGTAAGAGTGTTTGCCATTGAATTGATTTAGGATGACCTATGATTGTTGTCGCTAAGTCTTATGGAACGAGAAGTGAGAGTGTTGACAACTGAATTGAGTTGGGCGGGGTGATAATGTGACTGGGCATTAAGATATCGGTTTGTATGAGTGGGTTTCCGGTATACGGAATAAAAAAAACTGTGAGGTAAGTTTTTCTGAATAAGGACATCAAGGAATGGCAAAGACGCTTTAGACTCAACTTTCATCTTGTATTGAATACTAGGATGTACTAGGCCAAATGACAAATGTGTAATCAACATACCGTAACCAGTAGGTGGGTTTGAGATTTGATGAAGACAGGCCTGGTGTTTCGAAATGTTCCAAGAAAATATCAGCTATTACGGGAGAGACGGGAGATCCCATTGGGGCATCTTTGATTTGACGATAAAAATAATTTTGGAATGAAAAGTATGTATTAGACATGCAGTGTTTTATAAGTGTTGAAACATGTAGTCTCTATTTCAGTATTTAAGTTTACTATTACCTTATATTAATAGTAATAATACAGTTTTCCTACCTTGGTAAAATAATTTTAAATCTGTGAAACTTTTCTAGAGTCACAAAAATATCGTTAATACGTTTGTTAGCCTTATCGACAGCTGATAAATGCTTTCTATCCATTTTGTAAGCCAAATAGATAATAAGTGCTTCTAGCAAATATAGCAGTGTTTTAAGGTTGACTGTGTTTTCTTCTAACCTTCTGATATTAAAATTGAAAGTAGTCTTTTGCCAACCAACAGCAGATTCCCAGTTTTCATTTCTCAGTTCCCTTAAAATTTAAATATCGTTGAAGGTAAATATAATTTAATATAGATAATAAAAACATTAACCCGGAAAAACTAAACAGACTTTACAAACCCGAGTGTATCTATGTAGGATTTTAAAAGAGTTTACTGTCTAGGAGACAAGAGAGTCTCGGATTATTAAAAAAACTATATTTTTTTGGGGTTTTCCATGTTTGAAATTAATCTATATTGTAAAAAGGATTTATATTATTACGTCACGGATTCCACCGTACTTGATGGAAATTCATTTTAAACATATAAGAATAACATACTGAAAACATTTGTTTGTAAAACTTCCACAAAATTTATTATAATATCGTATCACTACAGCTGTTTCGACAGAGTGCCATTCTCAAGTGATCTATCTTCGGTATATGTTTACACTTTATAGTCTTTAACTGATTGGTTGAGAAGGGGAAACCTGTTTTTCTGAAGTTGGTCATTCAGAGTTGTGTCTGTATTTTTAATTTGTTAAATTTATTAATCCCCATAGATTCTAATAAAGTTAGCTTAAGGTCTTTATTTTGGATATAAAGAATTTAAAATTCATCATTAAAAGAATGATTATGGTCTAGAAGGTGAAGTGCGTACGTAAAATATGTTTTTAAATTATTAAATGTCCTTTTATGTTCTGCTATACGTTTGTTAAAAGTTCTACCACTTAACTGATGTAGTTTGTAGGCAGTCGCCACAGTTAAGTTGGTATACACCACTATGTAAGTGCTTTTTCTTTTGGATCTTGTCGTTTTTAATATATTTGCCTAAGCTGTTGTTTGTTCTAAGAGCTGGTATTATTTATTTTTTTATGTGTTTGGCTATTTTTGCTGATATCTTGCGTGTATATGTAATCGAGCAGAAGGTAGTGGATTTTTTCTCATTTTCTTTTTTAGAAAAGAATAAATCCATAAATTTTTTAGATGTAAAAATTATCAGGCTTTATCAGATAAAAACAAATATGACTTCTCCGTATTTTATAAATCTACCCGTACTGACATGACTATAGACAATTCATCATCCCATCCTAAACAACATGAATTGGCAGCCCAGCATAGTTTGTTATATAAATTAATAGAAAAATGATGTCAAAAAACAATTAAGAATTGAATATTATTAGCAAATAGCAGTAAACAATACGTACAAAACAATAAATAAAATTTTAAATTAAAAAATATATAAGAAAGCCCTAAAATTAGTGTTTGCACTATCAGAGAAAAAACCCAGTATTTTCTGCTCGGTTACATATACAGGCAAGATATTAACAAAAATAGTCGAACATATAAAAAAAAACAACAACTTGGGTAAACATACATATTAAAAATAAGAAGAGCGAAAAGAAAGCATTTATCAGTGGTGTACACAAACTTAAATGTGGCGACTGTCCAAAAACTTACATCGGTCAAACTGGTAGAACTTTTAACAAACCTACAGCAGAAAATAGAAAAACATATTTTACGTACGCCTTTGACCTATGCACCTTATAGACCAGGAGTGGCCAACCTTTTTAAGTCGAGTGTCAATATGAGAACAAAAAAAATTTGGCGTGCTACTAAAATTTTTCGACATACTAATATGGATGCTATGTATATATTAATAATATACGGTACAATATGTATTTCTTATGTAAATTCCACATTTTTCCGTTAAGTCAAGATAGTGGAGGTTTAAAAAATAACGTAATAAGTAAAACATAACAACAAACTTACTTTATTGTTAATAAAAATAAAATAAAAACGTTAAACAAAAAAACTTAAATATTTTTTTATTATCTAAAATTCAAATTATTAAACAGTTACTTATTTAATGTGGTATTTGAACTTGTATTTTTTTAATTAATTCATCTATATTGGGATTAATTTCGGAACTAGCCAACAGAATTAGATTTTTTAAATGCATGTCAGTTAATCGTGACCGATATTTTGATTTTATTATGTTCATAATAGAGAAAATTTGCTCACAAACGTACGTTGAACCAAATCTACAACAATATCTCAGAGCTAACTCGTGTAAATTAGGAAAATTGTTTGCTGGTACAAATTTCCAAAATTCAATATAATTGGGATCAGTAACAGTTGAAATAATTTCCCTATATTTGGTTTTTAGTATAGTGTGGTTCTGTAAATCAATAATTTCGATCTGTATTTCAGCTGAGTAACAATTAATTGATATCTTGCAGAGAAATAGAAAAAGGATTTATGAAAAGGTCAACATTCATTTTGTCTTTTTGAAAATCTTCAAACCGGGTATTGAATGAACCTAGCAAAATAGATATAAGTTTTTTAAATCTGTCATAATTTGGAGTTCTACTGACCTTGTTGGCTAATTCCCGCATTAATGTGAAATGTGTCAATCTCTGTTTTCCAAAATCGTTACAAAAAAGCGTAAGTTTATTCACAAAAGAAGATGTATGACCAATTAGAGTAGGAAAAATACAATTTTTTCCCTGTAATCCTAAAGTTAATAGATTTAAATGTCTCATAATATCAGTGAGAAAAGCTAAATCCCAAAGCCAATCTTTATCATTAGGTAACGAGCACTCACTGGGTAGTTCATTGTTTTCTTGCAAATATTTTAAGACGCACTCCTTCAAGTTCCAAAACTTTTCGAGTGCATTTCCTTTGGAGAGCCAGCGCACACTGCAATGGAGAAGTAACTCTCCATCTTGCTCCGTTTCTTCCGCGAACAGTTCTAGAAATTGTCGTAGATTCAATGCCCGAGCTCGTATTTTGTTAATGCAGCGTGTTACAGGGTCAACAACAGATGACATGTTTAGGTCCTTGGCACAAAGAGCTTCCTGGTGAATAATACAATGGTACTTAAAAACTTTTCTTCCCAAATAGTTTTCCAGTAATGTAACAAACCCCTTTAGTCTACCAACCATGCAAGGAGCTCCATCTGTACAAACCCTATCTAATTTTGACCATTCAACTTTGTTGACTTCGATTACGTTTTTAAGCTGTTGAAAAATGTCCTCTCCTGTTGTTGTGACTAGTTGGCACAAATCCAGAAGCTCTTCGGCATTTTCAAAATTATCATTGGTATAACGGACAAAAATGCTTAACTGCGCATTTTCTGTGTTGTCACAACTTTCATCCAACGCTAAAGAAAAGAATTTGCAGGATTGTAATCCACTTATAATTTAGGAAACAACATCCTGGCCCATATCATCTATACGGCGCATGACTGTATTTCGGGATAATGCAATATTATCGACCATATTTTTGATCTTTACATCTCCCACATTTTTAGCAAATATTGCCAGACTATTTTTAATTATCTCCTCTCCATCAGAGTAGGCTTTTTTCTTCCGGGCTAACAGCAGAGAAAGTTCATATGATGTTTTAACCATAGTTTCCATTTCATCACTTCTCTTCTGAAACAGTGACTGTTGGCTGGCTAGGGTTTTCTTTTTTTTTTCAATAAAGTCGGCTCGCAAATGTGAACCAATAGGATATTTGTTGCTGAAGTCCTTATGCAGTTGTTTATAATGTCGTTCCAGGTTAAATTTTTTCGGAACTGCTACAGACAATCCATATATCAAACAAACAGGCTTTGAAGTATTACGATTAGTAAATAAAAATTGTTCTTCCCAAGCAGGTTGAAAATCGCGAATTGCAATATCATCTTCGTATTTTCGTTTTGAAGTGGAAGGCTTACTCGTGGACATATCGAACAAATACTTTTAAAATTTTAAAGAAACAATGCGCGATGACAAAATGTGCACATACAACGGGGCAGTTTAAAATAAACTAAGCAAGGGCAACGCATTTCTATTGCACATTACGACAGCTAGGATCACGTGCACCAATTGCAGCAATATCGCTCGCCAGAGGATGCAATGGTGCCGCATCTATCGTAACTTCCGTAAACCCACCAAGTTTCTTCTTATTATTTTTTGTTTTTCAAGTTTTAATTTTTTTGAAAGTTTGATCAGTTTGAAAGTCCTATCAGTGGCACGCGTAGCGTGCCACTGATAGGACTCAATCGTGCCACAGAGTGGCTATTGGCCATCCCTGTTATAGACCATAATTATTCTTGTAATGACGAATTTTAAATTCTTCAAATCGAAAAGCTTAAAGGTCTTAAGCTATTTTTATCGGAATTCATAGAAATTAACAAATTAAAAATAGAGATAATTCTGAATGATTAACTTGAGACAAACAATTTTCCCCTCCTCAATCTATTGAGTTCAAGACTATAAAGTGTAAACACGTACCTACCAAAAATAGATCACTTGAGAAAGGCACTCTGCTAAAACAGGTGTAGTGATATTATAATAAATTTTGTTGAAGTTTTAAACACCAAAGTTTTTAGTATTTTATTGTTATTTATATTAATATTATCTAAAAGGTTAATTGGAACATACTGCAAACATTTAAAATATAGGAATTGAAAGTGATAGTTCAGTCTTATGAAATGTGCACCGTTGTTTAAATATACTAATTTAGGTACTATAAGTCCCTTCCCATCTTATTTATTAGCAGAAATACTAGAAACTTCAGAAAGAAGCCAAACGGAGACAGGGAAATTACAATCTGCTGGGGCGAAATGCCAGTCAGAATAGAGATAAATTACGAGGTTGCCAAATACCAAAACGGGGAAATACAGACAAGAGAGAAAATACGACGTTATTAAACACCTTAGGAATAAAAAAGAGATACAAGGGATAGTAAAGCTTTAACTTAGAGCCTCTCCTATCCAAACGCCGACCTCCATCCAGAATGAACCTGGTGTATATTGTTTTTAGAAATCGAGATCTGACGACCGAGTATGGGCGGAATAACCTTAGATCGAAAACTAACGAAATATTTTGAAATGTTTTCTAAAATCCATCGAAAGTAATGGAAACCTAAGATGATCAACTATATGTTACATTCCATGGTATGTTAAACTCAAATATGTCAAGAAACTAAAAATAAATGGTCCTCAGTCCCAGAGACTGAGGACTGGGAGGGTGTTAAATGACCAGAAAATTAGACTTGTCATGAAGAATTTATTACGCAAGATAACAACCTTGAAAGTACACAGTTTATTGCTGTAAAATAGATGGAAACACTAGCTAGATGTGGTAATTATAAAAACAAGTGAGATATGGTGGACAAAAAATGATTTCTGTGTTAATAGGACATTTTACTATTCCTTTAAAACTTAAATAGGGTAGGAACAAGACCAGAACTATCAGATTTTTTCCTGATCCTTCTCCTGGAAATAAGCCACAATTTGACGTTAAAATACATTTATTTTGATATCGATTATTTTGATTTCGATTTTAACTTCGGAAATCGTTCTCAAAATACAAATTTGTATTTTCAGACCTTAATCTGTTTTGTTACTAAATAAAAAAAACATAAATATGTTATATCCAAAATATCTTATATAATTTTTTGCCTGATGTTATTAGCAATAATTTTAAGAAACTCACCTTGTATTTCATGTGAAAAATATGAGATTTGGACTTTTTTATATCGCTTAATAAGTTATTGAAGAGAAATAAGTTATTTTTTTTATAAACTTTTTAAATTTTGCTGCTCCCTGAAATCTGCCGCCTATGGCACGGTCCCCTATCCTCCCTAATTTTGGATCTGGCTAAAATTCTTATTAAAGATCATATAAACATTAGTATTAAGAATGCCATTGCCTACTCTGATGACCTTATTAAATTATCTGGAAGTCATATAAACATAAATATAATTTATGTGTCCGCGCTCACTCCAAATAGATCGGATCAAGATCGAGAAGCTCTTGAATTTTATGAACAACTCAGGAAAATGTTAAAATTTGTCAAACCTACGAAACTAATATTATTATCGGCGAATTCAAGGCAAAAGTCGTTAAAAGTTAATAAGAATACTTTTATAAACTACCTGCAAGAAGATTGGATACACGAAAATCTCCACAAGACAATCCTAACAACACAGACGAAATAAAATAAATTATTGTCTAATAAACATTTATTTAAAAATTTAAAGTTTGTAAAAAAAGTCCTAGGGCCCGCGTAGCGCAAGCGGTAGTGTGCTTGCCTCGCATGCCGGTGGTCGTGAGTTCGAATCCTACCGCCGGCAAGAACAACTAGACATTTTTAAAATGTCTATAGGCCCCAGGTCGACTCAGCCTGAATAAAATGAGTACCTTGGGTAAAACCAGGGGTAATAATAGGCGGTTGAAGCGTAGCACTGGCCATGTTACCTTCCTTGTATACCGTAGGCCCTAGATATAGCAGACTACCCTGCTATACTCCCAAAGCCGCGTGCGGTATAAAACGGGAGACTATTATTATTAAAAAAAGTCCTAATTACGACCGCGCCAGGTGACTGTGGGAAGACTGGAAGAACTAGATGAAACTGTCTTATTTAATCTGATGTAAATATTAAGTTTAGTACAATTTTTTTAGTTTGAATTTACAGTTTACTTACCAGAGCCACAATAATACCATTAACTGTTTTTTCCCATCTGGATCTCGTAGCTGTGTTTCCCAACCTTCTTCTTGAATATAGTTTAGAATATTAGAAATAGGTTCAGCTGTAAGACCAGTTTCTACATGGACCATCAGGCATAAATTATAGTACCAGGCCTTTTCTAAAAAAAATGAAAAATTATTGACTTTATGATAATTAGAATAAAATATACTGAGAACCATGAATATGTGTAGTTTTTGTGGAAGTCATCTATTATACACCGGTTATAATTCAGCTAATTGGCTTGTTATATATCTTTCATTCATTATTATGCTTTGGTGGATTTGCTATATGTAAGCTGTCTGCCAATACCTGATAGATCTTAATATTGTTCTGAAGCTATTTTCTTGTGGTATTTTAAAGTAATTACTATTTAAATGGAAAAATTCCGCAATTAAAGGTTAAAATACGTTTATTAACGTTTGATAATGTGCGATATCCCAAATATATTGTATTGGGTTACGTCGGGACTTCTCGCGGACCAAAAAATGTCATTCTAACTTCCTGACGATATCGCTGCATAATTTTTGCAGTGTGTTTCCTGGAATTATCATGTATATGCATGAAATTTTTTCCCAAAAAATCGTGCAAATGGCAAGACATGCTCTTCTAAAATGTCCTATATACCATTTTTCAAAGTAAAACACTTGCACGTCACGATTTATACAAAGTGACGTCATTTGTATTTAAAATTTCCAGAACATCAACCTTAGGGAGAGCGCCCACCAAACTGGCGTGGCAAGTAGCAAGTAGCACGCGTCTAGCATGTTACATCAAATGTAACCAATGCAAACGAATGATTAGATCGAATAACGTCACTGCGATTTTGGTGTGCGCTGAATCATTCATTTTCATTGGTTACATTTTAAGTAACATGCTAGACGCGTGCTATTTGCTACTTGCCACGTGCCACGTCAGTTTGGTGGGCGCTCTCACTAAGAGTTCAAATTTTCCTAACACAGCTAATAATACGAAACCCATACGGAACTGCTCGATTTGTCATAGGCGTCAACATGGTATAATAATCAGAAAAATGTAATCATTATATTGAAAATTTTATAATTACATTGATTAAATAACCAAAAAAAAAAAATATCTGCTATTATTACTAATATAAATTTTATGAAATAACTTTTTAAGTCTAATATTCCACAAAATAATAATTTTAATTAAAAATATTAGACAATTGTACGCAACTGATATGGGAATACTTCGAATTTTATTGACAGTTGAGCATGAAATTTATAGGCAGTTTTATTAATAGTATGAAAAACTAATTATTGTTATGTATTGTGATTATGATATGCCAAAACAAATAAATAGGCTGTAGAAAGCTGATAAGCTTTCATATAAGATAGATTATTTTGAACAAGAAATAATGGCAGGACGTTTTTACTATTAATGTCTTAAAAGAAGTAAGTTTAAAATTTAGAATATATAATTTTGTATTAAAATGTTTTCTTATGTATTTTAGTGTATTGCAGTAGTCTTAAAACTAAGTGTATTTACTCTCAATATAACAGTTTGACAAATAGTTGACATTTTAAAAATTCCTCACTTACTAACTATTCTGGTGTTTTGGCAACGCTGTGGGGTTCTGACGACGTAAATCTTGAATGACGTGCAAGCTTTTTTATATGAAAAATGCTGTATGTAAAATTTAATCTACCTTTGTGCTGTAAGCTGCCCTCTACGTATCTCTTTAGAAACAAAGCAGTCTAAATTCATCGGTAAGTAACATTCTTCTCCAATCTTTATTATTTCAAACAACATGTTTACGAGTAAAATACAATATTTGCCTTCTATACTCTCTGGTCAATATTGGGCCAGCGGGTGCCCTGCCAGGGCACTGGTCATTTTCGGCAAGTCTTTTTATTATCGTATATTGGCTTTTTTTATTAGAAAAATCCATCCGAACATCCAAATAAATAACAAAAGTGAATAACTACAGGTTATAGAAAATTTTTATAAATCTTAGATGTTTAACTCTATCATCATAACAAAGAACAAAACTTTTGACCTAGAGATAATGCGAGAGTTTAGGATATTGTAACGATGTTTTTCTTAATCATATTTAATATAATTTATTAAAAACTGTTCGACTGTTAATCGAATGTTACACTGATCACATATGGGTAGATTATTGTTTGAAAAGGTGAGAGTGCGTTTACTTGATATGTCTTAGACGGGAATGCGCAAGCACAATTGGTTCACGCCTATAAAGCGACGATGAAATTCACTGAAAAACATTATTTTTAATTTTATTCAGCGTAGAATTAGTTTGAGACCGCTTATTTCGACACAAGCACATTAATTTATTTTTAAAATAAAGTTTTAGGTCACTGAAAACACACTTATCTATGGGCTCCAAATAATTGCTTAAAATAGCCTGTCGTGCAGGCGTGTCAGCTTCTTTGCTTCTATTCTTTAATGGTTCAATAGTACCTGTGGAGAGGACAAAGACAAACTTGTACCATCTTATAGTCGGTCATTCAGGCAGTCGAGGTGTGTTTTGACGTTTTTATTTGGCAATTTGGCTAGCTTACCACGGCATTCTATTAACATGGTCTCTACACTATTTTCTTCTCCATCATACTACGTCTTGGATGTTATATTCTTTCTTACTTATTCATTGCTTTTACGATCATAAAGGGCAGCCCATTTTTGTTCAGTTTGCTCCCTATTGTATTTTAATTTTTTCAAATATTGTAACAGTTCAAAAATTTGTTTTGTAGAACAGTATTTTTAACATACCTTTGTCCAAGTGTACGAAATCTCCAGAATCACTGGTGATCAGGAGCTGTAACCCTTCTCGGCCTTGACCAGGTCTTCTTGATTTACTCGCAGTGGTCTCAAAACGTGTTAAAACTATTAAAATCTTTGACTGAGTGATATTATAGCCGTTTAGAGAGTTCCACTTGAGTGAATCCTTCTTCGCGAAGTGTAACGATACTAATGCTGTCATATTCTAACGAAATTCGAGTTTCTTACTGCTGGTGGTTTATTTTAGGAAACAACACTAAATAAACTTAACAATAAAAACTCCTTTAAAGATTTAGCAAAACTATTCAAATTCAAACCAAAATAAATTGGAACCGAAATGAAGAGCTGCTATTATGTATTCAATTTACTTGCAAAAATATTATAAAAATTAGGTAGCCTTTTTGCAGTTTTGCAGTATAGATTTGTCGTCTAAAATTAAAATTTAGAAAATTAAGAAAGTTTGTAATCTCGCCTTTCACAGTGTTGCAGAAATAATGTTCATTATTGTTCGACACTAATGTACATATATGTATATTTTTAAACAAAAAAATTAATAAAATTGTAAAGAAACTTACGAGAATTATCATTATCACGAGGTATTAAAGTTTTAACCTCTTCCAGCATATTAACGAATTCTGGAATTTGCCGTCGATATAAAACAATTATGGCTAATAATGGGACTATTCGAAAGACCAAATCATTTGTTCGGGATGAAATTGCCAATCTGAGTCCAACATAACCAATGTGCAAACATTTATCTATCTCTGCTCTTCTTATTCTACAATATTTCAAAAGTATCACTTACAGAGCTACTTTAATAATATCAATTTATTAATCTACAAACACAATAAAAAATAACTATAGTAGCAAAAATAAATAAATACATTTAAAATACGTTTTTCTACACCAGTAGATAGATAGATAGATAGAACGTTTATTGACCACTTTACATAAAGTTTGAAGTCCGTATAAAAAATACAATAAAAGATATATAATAATGTAAACTTAAAATTAGCTTGACCATATTGGCTAAAGTAATATACATATGTAAGTATTAGCAGAAGAATTAAAATTAAAAATTTGAGATAAAAAAAATCTCTAACCAAAAAAAAAACAAACCTAAACTGTCACATAAAATATCTTTGAAATATGGAAGTAACAAAAATGTACAAATAATTAAGAATATTCCCGAATCGATGACTAAATAAACTAATACATAAAACTTAGTACATTTTAATAGCAATAATACAATGTGATATGTAGATAGTAAATCGACAGTATTCTGACCAAACTGGGTACACGTTACAAAGGTGTATTGAGGTATTCTGTCTTTGAGTAAAAACAGTATGTTAAAAAATGCTTTCTGATCATATTTTTAAACAGTGGTGGAGACAGAATTTTTATTTTGTTAGGCAGATAGTTATAGAAGTGAATATCAATTGAATTCTTTGTGCTCTTTGATAGTCTGAATCGTTGTGACCTAATTAAATCCCCCGATCTTGTTAGATGATCATGTAATTGGGGGTTTATAGTAAACTTATTTTTATTATCGTGAATTTCCAACAGTGTTGCATACATATAAAGCGAAGGTAGAATACCTACCAATTGTTGTATATTTTTACATTATTTACAGAATGCAGTAAGAAAAAAAAAAGGAAATCGATAGAAAAAAATACCACTATTAGTAACATCATACAAAATCAGAAATCGGTGTTAATATTGAGAATAAAATAAATGCAAGACCAAATATTTATTAAGTCGGGATAGTATCACAGGTTTTTTCCTGGTTTTTCCTCATGATTTACTGTGGAATCACTAACAGTAGAATTTTACTATCATCATTGCACGTGGTTGTCTTTTGAAAGAAAAATGACATGCGATGATTTTTCTGATACATATTCTTAAGTTAACGTTGATCAAATGTAATCGAATGAAATATTTTACAATAAAGTCGTTCCAGGAACGCAAATTCATAAGTATTAACAATATCATTTTAAAGTCATCTACTTTGAAATATATAATATATACCTAAATTATAAATTGGAATGAGTCAGATAAAATGAAATTATTAGATGAATTTTCTTACCAAGCAACAAAATCAAAATTTGTTAATTTAATAATGTTTTTTATTTTTAAAACGAGTTCCGAAGTGAAAATTAAAACGTCAAAAAAATTTAATGTAAAAGTAAAAAAATTGGACTTAACCATTATATCATCCAGAAGTACTAGACAGTTTTCTGTTTTTTGTTTTCCGTTTTCTGTTTTCCGATTAAGTCCTCTGTTCTCTATTAGACAATTATACGTAAAACCAAAAGGTAGAACCTATAGAGACCACAGTCAGTTGAAAAACTGTTTTGTCTCGATCATAAGGGTGTACTTCTACTTGCTAATAGTTGCTTTTTAAATCTAAGGTCGCAATCCATTTAACACCTGATAAAGTGTTTAGTTTTTCATCTATTCGTGGCATTTTAAGTAACCCGGTTTAATGTTTTGTAGTCTACTAGTTACTAAAACTACTAGTGAACACAAGGGCTCGAAATTTCTTCGATGATTTTTGCATTTATTATGTCCTGTATTATATTTCCAACTTTTTTTTATCTAGCAACTGGTAATATCCTCGGGACTTGACGACTTGGTCTTGTATCTCCAGTATAAATTATATGTTACGTTAGACTAGGACGCTCTCCTAGACCGTCGAAGTTTTGCTCTATATATTTTAATATAATTTTCGCATTTGATTATTTTTTGAATTGGAGTACACAATGCTATTTGTTGTTTTTTATTTTTAAAAGGCCTTTTAGACAAATAAGTTACCCTTGCTGGTTCTATCTATTTTAACAGGGCACCTGGCTATTAAAATTCCCTCACTAACGAGTTTCTCGCTTCTAACAACGCCGAAATATAGACCTTCAGGTTTTGAAAAACAATATCTACCAAAACAATACAATAAAAGTAAAAGTAGACGAAGAACTAACGGACCCTATTGAAGCTGAAAATGAAATAAGGGAGATTCCCTGAGTCCTCTATTGTTTAACCTGCTTATGGATGAAATAATAAAAAAAAGTAAGAACAAAAAAAGGATACCAAATGGAAGAAAAACAATTTAAAATAATTTGCTAAAAAGACGACGCAATACTACTCGCTCAAAGTGAAGTTGATTTACAGCGTATGCTGCATCAATTTAATATAACCACCAAAAAATTTAACATGTTAATTTCTTCTACAAAGGCAAAATGCATGATTACAACAGCAAATGTAAATGTATGTATGTAAATGTATCAGCAAAATAATATGTAAATTGGAATTATAGTTTATTCGCCTTCCGGGTTTGGACCGTGTCATTTGTGAGTGAGATGAGATGAGATGAACCCACTTTTGGGTCACTCACAAATGACACGGTCCAAACCCGGAAGACGAATAAACTATAATTCTGACTCTGGTCGTGGAAGCCTACGATTTCATGTAAATTGGAGCTGAAAGCTTAGATAAAAGAACAAGTGATGAGTTTAAATATTTAGGCATCACATTATCTAGCTACGGAAAGCTCGAAACCGAAGCGGAAGATCAAGTAAATAGAGCAAACAGAGCCGCAGGCTGCCTAAATGAAACAATATGGAGAAATAAAAATATCGGGAACGAAACGAAAGGCAGAATTTACAAAACAGTCATCGGACCAATAATCACATACGCGGCAGAAAGAAGATCTGACACCGAGAGGACAAAAATGATGCTTAAAACAGTAGAGATGAAAAATTGATCGTAAGACACTATAAAACAGAGCTAGAAGTACAGAAATGGAACGATCAGATAAGGTGAATGACAACAAATGGAGTAGTAAAGACGGCAAAAGACAGTTCCTCAATAGAAAGACGATCAATAGGAAGACCACGAAACCGATGGAATGACAACTTACTGGAGGCACATTGAAAAACAGACAGAAGAACAGAAAGAAAAAATAGAAGGTTTTTGATTTAGTTTTGTCAGGACAAAACTTGCAGAATTTTATGGAACGTTTGTATCCTCACTCACTATACCTTCTTGATTTGTCTGCGTAATTGACATGAGTAATATCCATTCCAAGAACTCATTTATCAATAGTATGGGCTACAAGAAATAGGAGTTTTATCAAGATGTTACCCAGCCCTATAGTTATATATCTCTCTATGAATTAAAATAGTATGACCTGAAGCTGATTCAAGAACTAAGTTTATTTTAGGTGGCTGTAGTTTTTCGTTTGGAAATATTTCGAATAGAGGATCTGGTCTTACCGGTACCAATAATAAAGGTGAATTTCTTATTGTCAATGTAGCCTTTAAGTGATAAATTCTATTAATAGATACAGCAGACGCGACGTCCACCCTCTAGTGTTAACTTTTATTCGTTTTTCTGGCTATTGTATCTCTACTATAATAGTATTTCTAGTAGGACTACGCGACGAACTTCTTGATGTCGATCTGGCGGAACTTCTGACCTTATTTTTTTGGTTTTTCTTACCTTTATTAAGATCGGCTTCTACCATTGGTTTGCAAATCTCCCTTTCTTCCACAATTAAAACATCTTTTGGTTTTATTTCGAGTTTTTTTAAAGATTTTGTAGTTTTAATTTTAGAAATTCGCTTTTCGCGTTTTGTGATGTTATAATCAGATAGCTTGTTGCATTTCTATTTATGAATGTCCGTATACCAATTTGATCTAGAAAATCTTTAGATGCCTAAGGATTTTGTACACACTTTTATGACAAATAATGAAAGAATAAAAAAGGAAAGTATTTTAGAAGTGAGTAAAAAATTGATTTTCTAGCTGATCGCTCTTGGCTTACAAAGTCATCCTTAGAGTTACGCTAAAATAGAATACCTAATATGAGTAACTAATTTAAGTGTTACAATATTTAACTTACGTCAAGTTTATAAAGTACCACTACTAAAGAGGGATCGCATTGACAGAAAAATACAAAATTTTCATTTCAAAGTTAAAAAATTAAAAAAACTACTAGGAGACAGTACAGAAAACAGATAAGGAAATTTTTTTATGGCACCGATGGAAAAACCCCACTATTTAAATGGAGTGGAAGCGACAGGCAGAATTTGTTTTTATTTAAATAAGCGGTGTAAGGCTTTCAAACATACTATAATAAAGCCTACTGTGCGAGGGAGCCACAGTGTGTCAAATCTACGGGTAGGATCTTTCTTATTTACGTAAAAAATAAAAAGATTCTGAACCAAAATGTGTAAAACTGCGGCAACATCCATTCTGCAAATTACAGGGGTTATATAGTTGCGTAAAAATAAAAAAAGCTAAAAATGAAAAATATGTTGAAAAACCCTAGTTTACCTTAACAACTGAATAGGACAGAGCAATCGAACATTTAACATTTGAAAAAAGATACAGCTTATAAATTACACAGCCTCGCAGCGACAGCCAGTCAAAATAGAGCAGTTAGAAATAAATAAAATAAAAAACAATCACTGAGCAGACCCTAAAAATTTTCTTAATAAACTAAATTCAAGATAAACAAAAAGATAATTCAGGAGCGACTCAAGACTGGAATATAATACCAAAGGAGTCATTCCAAAGTAAAATTACAAGCAGTCCTAGACATAGAAAAAATGTAAGCTGTATAACAGCAGTGTAGTGTCCTTCCAAATTTGCTTTAGTCTTCCACTACACGCGCGTGGATTGACAGTCCGTGTTTGATTAAAATATAGAATTTTTCGCGTACATCACACTATTTTCTGTAGCCGATTTGTAAGCCTTCATCTACTCGGCTGCTTTATGTTAGTCTAGGCTACTCTACTGAGAATTTAGTACGTTAGTACTGGTTTAACTGACAAGGGTTTATATTAATTAAAGTATTTAATTAACGAAAGGTAAGATCATATTTTTTTCAACTTATATTATTCTAGTTAGAATGTGAGGATATATTCCCATACTATTCATGTGTAAATTATTCTATTTGTACGTCTATATGTAACTTATTCTCAGTTCTAATCTAAGATCTTTGTTGCAGATAATTGTTTTCATTTTTACAAACGCATTTCTTGCTATTTCTATCCTAGCTTTCATTTCGGTTGTTTGATCATTATTGTCTGAAATCCAGGTTCCTAGATATTTGTATTTATCAACCCTTTCTATCGGTACATTTCCCAATGTTTGTTGGTATATTTGTTTTCGTTGTTATTATTATGTATTTGGTCTTTTTTATATTCATTTTTAGTCCATATTTTTCACAGAAACTATTTGTTTTGTTAAGCAGTAATTGAAGTTGTTTAGCAGAGCTTGCCATAATCACGGTGTTATCTGCATATCTTATGTTGTTAATAGATCTTCCGTTAATTATTATTCCTTCACTTTGAGATAGTAATGCTTCTTTAAAAATGACTTCACTGTATACATTAAATAGTAATGGGAACATAATACATCCCTGCCCAACTCTTCTCCTGATTTCAATTTGTGGACTGGGTTCGTTATCTATTACGATTTGTACTCTTTGATTTCAGTAGAGGTTTGTTATTATTCGTAAGTCCCTGTGGTCTATATTTTTTCTGTTTAGAATTTGGACTAATTTTTCATGTCTTATTTTGTCAAATGCTTTTTTAAAATCAACGTAACAAACATGCACATTAACATTCATATCCACGCATCTTTGAGTTAACACATTAAAAGCAAATAACGCTTCTCTGGTTCCTAATCCGTTTCTGAATCCAAACTGACTATCATCTATTCCTTCTTCCAGTTTTTTATTTATACGACCATGTATTATTTTTAGGACTAATTTGAGAATGTGACTTATTAGTGATATTGTTCTGTATTCACTGCAATATTTAGCGTTTGTATTTTTAGGGATAGCACAAAAGGTGGAGAGTAACTATTGTTTCGGTATGTGTCCTGTTTTGTATACTGAGTTAAATAAGTCTACCTAATGCTTTACCATATTTGCATTTTTAATAGCATTTTAATTTCCTCTTTTAATATCTAAAATCATATCCTGTTCTACTTCTATCTCCATCTGTTCTGTTCTATTGTCTTTAAATAGTTTATTGATGTATTATGTCCATCTCTTTAATTTGTCGTTAGTATTCAACACAAGTTTCCCATTCTTATCTTTCAGTATTTCCGGTTTTATTGTGCTATTGTTGTGAGTTAATTCTTTAATTTTTTTATGTGCGTTAAGACTATCATGTCTTTTCTGATTTTCTTCTATTTCTGCGCATTGTTCTTTTAGACATTGTCCTTTCGCTTTCTGAATTCTGTATTTTATTTGTTTATCCACTTTTTTATACATCTGATTATCTTTGTTCTTATATTGACATCTTTCTTCCATTAAATCTAAAATTTCTTCCGTCATCCATTGCTTCTTTTTATATCTGGTTTTGTATTAGAATTTCTTTTTGACTTTTATCTATTTCTGTCTTTATTCATAACCATTTTTTTCTCATAACTGTCTCAGTATTTTGCAGCGCTTGTTCTTGAATATTCATTAATCCGTTGTTGATTTCATCTGCCAGGCGTTGCCTTATGAGTGGGTTTCTTAATTTACTTATATCGATTTTTGCATTTGTTGTTCTTCGAGATTCTTCTTCTTAAAGTTTTACTAGTTTTAATTTTTCTGGTTTAACTATGGATGATGATGAAGCTATTTGTACAGATTTGACATTAGTGAAACAGTATTAGATAAAAAAGCTTAACTATTAACTTTTATTTCTAACCAAACTATTTGTCCTGTTTAGACAATTAGACATTAGACTTTTCTATATATAATAAATCTCATTAAATCGAACCAAAATCAGGTAACGTAAATACATTAAATATTTAAAAACAAGTTTATGAATAACCATAAGTTATGTAAGATATCCTAACCTGTCTCTAAAAATCGCATAATAGAGGCGAGCCAGTGCTTTGAGTTCGTCCACCTCAACCAGTGTCTTTTTTCTATGACAAAAACTCAGGGCAAACACTTCTAAGTATATGCTTAACTTGTATTGTCCAAGGGTTGACTGAACATATATTAAATTTGCGTAAGCTATGCACACTTTTTCAAAATCCGATTCTGACTTCAATGCTCTAGATAAGCTCCACATTGCTGCCATTTCCGCTTCATTCCATCTTCCTTTACTCTTAAAAAATGTATTGATATTTTAACTATTATATTATTTTATCTTTAGTATATAATACATCAGAATTATTAAACGTTTATATTATTTTAATATCATTTAATACGTTTCTTTAATCGATCAAACTAATAGCCAGTCAAACAAATTAAATTTTAGAATAGAATTAGTAACAAATCTAAGAAATTTTGAGAAATTTTTTTAAATGACCGATTTTTCTTTTATTGACAAACAAAATTTCTCTTGATTTGTCATAAGAACTACACTACGAATATATTACAATGTTTTTATGCGTTATAATTTGTAGTCTAATGTCTTTCTTATTCCTTTGATTTTATGGTCCTGGATGGATCTTTTTCTGTCTGGCTACAATATCTGTTCAGATATGTTCTTTTCCTTCGTATTCCGTTCTCTAATGTCTATTGTTTAAATATCCTTTTACAGATATATGATTCTATATCTATATTTTCTTACCGTGTTTGCCAATGTAATATATTATTGACTGTTTTTTTCTTCTTTCACACATATTGCCGATCTTGTTATTCTATTGGATACTGGATATTGGATATTGGATCCAAAAGAAAAAATCTAAAACGAAATTAGATAAGGGCTGTGATGCCTTAAGATGCATATTGCCCTAACAATATATTTAGTAATAGAAAAATGGAAAAATGGAAAAAAGTTAGTTTTACGAAAAAGACTAAACGAAGTTTGTTTTAGCGAGAGTTACTTCTGCTACAAAAAAATCCATTTAAACTGAAATTTATTCATATTTTCCAAGATTGTAATTATTATTATCCGGCTTGACTTTTGTTTTTCAGTAGTGACAAAGTTATAAATGACCGATACTATCAATATTCTATTTTCTTCATGACATATGGAATTGTTTATGTCAAAGATTTCTATCCTATTAGATGACCGATTTAATAATTTTGGATTATATAATTTTGGAATTTATTTAAAAGTCTGCTGATAATAAAGAGCTGGATTAACACGAGAAAAAAATTTACTATGATAAATAAATTTAAAGACAAAAATTATTAACCAAAAATTAATCCAACTGAAAATAATCCTTCACAAAACACCACACCGTCTACATACTCAAACAAACTAACTACATTTAAATATCTGGCAAAAGACCAAGCTATTGTACTATCTGCCATGGAAGGAATTAAAATTCATGATTATATAGTTGCCATTGGATCACTTGTCCTTCCAAAGAACATAGTTTTTGTCTCTCGAAAATTGCAAACAACGCATTTGCATTTATTTATCTTCTAAAAGAATAGTAGACCAACTCATTGATTCACATAAACACGTTAAAATTATCAACATGCAAGTAGAAGTCCGCAGATTAATAACTCTAGCATTAAGATTAGTCATCTCGAATGTTTGTTCAACCATTCCAAACGAAGTTATAGAAGACGAACTCAAGAAAATGGGAAATGGGCAATGGAAATAGCCATATCAAAAATGACATTTCTTCGAGTCGGTATGTCTGAGACAAAATATTAGCATGTTCTGAGTTTTCGGCTGTAAATCTACATCAATCCATTAGAAAACTTATCCATAACAGACTCTTTCAACATTTCTTTTGATTCCACAACATATCGAATATACCTTTCTATAGATGAATTTAATTATTCTAACTGCCGAACAAAAGGACACCGAGAAGTTGATTGAATTCATACAACGGATTTGCCCAGTGAACAAATGGAAACAGAAGTACCTGAAAATCCTAATCCAAATAACCAAACCAATATACATCTAACAGAAACCACCAATTAAACTCTTTCTGAAGTAAACATTTCCTATAACCCTAGCTATAACTAGCAACGATAACCCACCTTTAAATAAAGATAAGGCCAAAAGACAGTTATCAAATTTTCCAGATGTTTCTGATATTCCCACATCACAAGACGTCTTTTCTGTTCCCAAAACATCTAAACCAAAAAAAAGAGCCAACTCGACTGAAAACACATTTGTTGTCCTCAACTTCATCAAAAACTTAATAGAACAAAAAATCCGCCCTTTCCTATTGGTTATTCAAAAATATGCCTATTTTTAGAAAATGCCACTAACTCTAAAAACCCTGAACTTATAGCAAAATATTACACCAATGAAATATCCAAAATTATTAACATCCTCACTTTTATTTACTAAAATATTCAAAATCCTACAAACTGTTTTTGTAAGTAAGAACCCTGTTGGTTGTTTATTTATATTCTAAAATCTTCTTTATTTGTAGTGAACTAATGATGCTTTTAAAAATAATAGCGAAACGTATTCGAATAAATCAATAAAGTAGTAAAGTAGTTGTCGACTTCTATTTGCCAATTATATTGACCAATAAAGCCTCTGCTATTCAACCATTGAATATTTTTTAAATATACATATACATTACTTACTAAAAAGTATTTACATAAAAATCCCAAACATTCAGATACGTTATTATTATATTCAGCATAATCCTCGTCCACTTTTTTAGATGCAGTTGTTCGTCCTAAGTAATATTTTACTTTTTGCTTCATTTTAAATATAGTACTGTAAATTTTTTTTGTGCTCGGTCTTTTCGGAAATCTTATACTGTACAATCTCAAGGCTTCTAAAAAATAGTTGTAAGCTTCATCATCGTTGGCTTGCATTCTGGCGTATCCCAATAATGCGAACAGCTTTCCTTTTTTTAAATCGACCATCCAGTCTAATTCGAACTGGTCTTTCATTGGGCCCTGCAAAAGTATTTTTTGTGTAATACAGTTTTTTTATTCTAAGGGTGCCAAATTATTAGTAGTTTTTACTGTAAGTCACTCTATAGTTGGAGTAAATATCGTTTAAAAAATTAAATAATTTAAAATGAAAAAGACAGCAAATATTCGATTTCACGCAAACCAACCCTATGTATCTGTTGATACGTATTTCGACCTAATAGGTCTCATCAGAACATCTATTCATAGGTGTTCTCAACGTGAAAAATCAATATTTTCTGCCTTTTAAGAAGCAACAATAAAATGGCTTCAATACGGACGCGATAGCGACATCTAATTACAAAATCCGTACAATAGTTTCGAAACACAATTCAGATTTCTGCTTATAATCTGAGCCTTCTAAAAATTGAAAGGTTAAAGATGTTAAAAGGGACATGGGGAATCTAAAATTTGCATTCCACGACATGTCTTTTACAACTAAGCAGAAATGCTTAGCGAATTGTGCTTCTAGTACTCACACAGAGTATATCCGAAATAAAATGAAAAAGACAGCAAATATTCGATTTCACGCAAACAAACCCTATGTATCTGTTGATACGTATTTCGACCTAATAGGTCTCATCAGAACAGCTATTCATAGGTGTTCTCAACGTGAAAAATCAATATTTTCTGTCCTTTAAGAAGCAACAATAAAATGGCTTCAATACGGACGCGATAGCGACATCTAATTACAAAATCCGTAAAATAGTTTCGAAACACAATTCAGATTTCTGCTTATAATCTGAGCCTTCTAACAATTGCAAGGCAAACAGACGTTGATAAAAGATGTTAAAAGGGATGTTAAAATGTTTTTCATTTTATTTCAGATATACTCTGTGTGAGTACTAGAAGCACAAATCGCTAAGGATTTCTGCTTAGTTGTAAAAGACATGTCGTGGAATGCAAATTTTAGATTCCCCATGTCCCTTTTAACATCTTTTATCAACGTCTGTTTGCCTAATTTTTAGAAGGCTCAGATTATAAGCAGAAATCTGAATTGTGTTTCGAAACTATTTTACGGATTTTGTAATTAGATGTCGTTATCGCGTCTGTATTGAAGCCATTTTATTGTTGCTTCTTAAAAGACAGAAAATATTGATTTTTCACGTTGAGGACACCTGTGAATATCTCTTCTGATGAGACCTATTAGGTCGAAATACGTATCAACAAATACATAGGGTTTGTTTGCGTGAAATCGAATATTTGCTGTCTTTTTATTTTATTTCGGATATACTCTGTGTGAGTACTAGAAGCACAAATCGCTAAGGATTTCTGCTTAGTTGTAAAAGACATGTCGTGGAATGCAAATTTTAGATTCCCCATGTCCCTTTTAACATCTTTTATCAACGTCTGTTTGCCTAATTTTTAGAAGGCTCAGATTATAAGCAGAAATCTGAATTGTGTTTCGAATCTATTATACGGATTTTGTAATTAAATAATCATTTAAATACTTAATAAAAGTTCAGAATTCCCCTGATATTTTACTATATATATGCTTCGATATTCGAAATCCGACAAGAAAAAGGTAACCGGTTGAAATCAATTGCATTTGATGATTAACGGATATCTTTTGAAAAAGACATCTTCAGTGAGGTGTACCCAATTGTTACAGACTAAAACATTTTTATAGCAATTATGACTTTATGGGCCGTAATTAAAAGTGGCACCAATCTTAAGCATCTCAGTTAATTATAAAATTATCACTTGGAAATTGAATGCGGTGTATTTCAAGCTTTTTCAAGAAAATTTGTTGATTTATAACGTTTGATTTCATTAAAAAAATATCCATTGCGGAATTTAATTTCGCGGATAATTTTCGGCGTTTTGTAGTACAGTTCACCAAATATAGCTGACAGTCTAAAAATTAGCACACCCATGATGCGCATTCGTCATCCAACGGATCTTTCACGGAGCGTCCACTTAATATCTACCGTTTGTGACGTGCAAAAGTCGGTATATTCTGCGAAACATTTTTTGTTTAAAATTTAGAGTTTAAATCGAATCTGAAGGGAAATGTTTTAAATAATCAGACATTTGAAGTAATAGCAAATGTGCCAACGACAATACACCGTGTAGAGATCTGAAAAAAGTGCAGAATCGTGTGGTATTGGCAAGGGGTGTTAGTTTATGCAGCGTTCAAAGATTGCTCGGGAAATGCAATTAATTGAATACGGCGAATGTTCCTCATTTGTAACTCGAAACAAAAAGAGTTAAAAAGCTCTTTAAAAACGTGCTTGGACGATTTTGATATAGGGCGTCTTCGACGTTATATAATGGATTTTTGTATAAAACAAAAACAAGTGCCAACTGTGAAACGCATACACAGAACCTTTGCAGAGGAGTTCAACTACTCAGGTTCCATAAAAAGCCTACGAACAGTAATTATAAAGATGGAATTTCATTGGCGAAAAACCAGAACTAATAGAAAATTATTAATGGAAAAGCTCAACATTCAACATGTTAGACTGGATTTTTTTAGGTAGTATGAAAAATTACAGGAACGCAAATCGCCCAATTATATACATGGATGAAATATGCGTCCATTCATCTCATACCTACCAAAAGAGCTGGTCTGATAATTCAAACAAGGGATTACAAAAACCAGTATCTAAAGGACATATGCTTGTGATAGTGTATGCTGGAGGTGAAAGTGGTTTTGTTAAAAACGCTTATCTGCGCTACAAACCTACTATAAAAACAGGCGATTATTATAACGAAATGAACTACGACAATTACAAAAGTGGCTTTAGGATAAGCTGATACCAAATTTGCCCCCGAACAGCGTTTTAGTGATTGATAATGCACCGTATGACAACGTACAAACTGACAAATGTCCAACTATGTCTTCCAGAAAAGCAGAAATGCAGCAGTGTCTGACAACTAGAAATATTTCGTTTACGGATGACATGTTGAAATTTGAACTATATATTTAAAATTACACAAACCTCGCTTTAAAACGTATGAAATTGACAAAATACTCGAGGCTAAAGAAAATTCAGTTTTACGATTACCCCCGTATCATTCGGATTTGAATCCGATAGAGTTAGTATGGGCTTCTATGAAGCAATATGTAGCTGAAAAAAATGTCAGTTTTGATTTTAAATTAGTAGAAAGTGTGTCTAATACCAGTGCCAATAAAACACACACACACACAAAGTGTGTCTAATGAATTTTTTAATTGGTTTCAATCGAACAATGGAAAAAGAGATGTGAACATGTTAAGAAAATAGAACAAAGTTATATGGCAACAGCCAGATTTTGACACCGTGGTGGATCAAATAATCATAAATGTAGGTCTCGATGTGACGTGATTCTGAAAATGAGGAGATGGACTCTGATTCTGAGTCAGATGATTCAGAAATATCAACCTTAGACACTAATGTTACATTTCTTCAGAAACCGTTAGGTATTATAAACTTTTAAGAATTTTTTAGAAATAATGTTATTTTTATTTAGTTCTCCGAGGACGATTGTAGCAGTCGAAATGAAAGAATTTTTAATTTCCCGCCTTCATCATTTATAGGACCCCTATACGGTCATTAATAATCACATTAAAAAATATTTTGCATTCTTATTTTTAATATTTTATATATGACTTAATTATATAAAACTAAATATCTCATTTTTTTTAAGAGTTTAGGCTTTTTTCATACTTTGGGTAAATATTCAAAGATAAAGGTCGCTTTTAACGAAAGGTACTCGTACAAAGACACCGTATTTATGCTTCACCGAAACCGAACATCTAATTTCTATTAGTATTGCATTAGACGATTTTATTACTACTTTATTACCCTCCTGCTTACACATTTTTTCTCTGAAAACTTTTGGTCAATATAATGGTAATAAAAAGTATAAGTGGTGAATATAAAAATAGAATTTTTGATTTATAATGCCATAATTTATAGCAACACAAGCGGTTTTTGTTCAATCTATTTTTTTACATCTCACTTTGTAGGACAGATACCACAAATACATATACTGAAATATACTGAAGAAAAGTAATGACAGTAACAGTAATTGTGTACGGGACCTATTAGAAACTATTCAAACTTTACGTTTCTATATTTGTGTCTCCGATTGTACCTATATTTTAAAGTTCACCATGCTATCTTTTTGCTTTCAAGTGCGTTCTCACTTCATTGTTTGCTCAGGTAGATCCTATATTTTAAAGTTCACCCGCGCGTACAGGCTATCTTTTTCCTTCCGAGTGCGTTGTTCATTGTTCGCGCAGGCAGTTAAAATTTCCGACTTTCAACTATTTTTGGTGAGCTGTAGCCCACTCCACTAGATTTCTAAATAATTACCAGGCCTGCTAGGTTTATATCTGAAAGTCAACCCTTTCCACTGCTTCGGTATACTTTGGCTTCTAACGGCACCCAGACCGTGAAGTGATTTATCCGTGAGATTGGATTTATCGCGATAAGTGATTTTTATAACGAGTTTAAATTTTTTTATTAATCTATTAAAAAAATAAAACTATTATTAATCTGATATGTATGTTTGTTTTTATTATAGCATTAAGTAACACTTTCCTTTGGGAAAGATGACAGTAACTAAGAAGCAGAAATAAACATTACTATTTATAACTGTATTTCACAAACTATTTGGTGGATAATGAGCACTTCCGACAGTGACATCTCAAACACAGTCTTGTTAGATAAACTTCGAGCAGAAATCAGTAAACAATCTACAGACTTAAAACATTATATATATTACAAGAAATCAAAGATGAAACACGAACACTAAAAAACAAAATAAACAAAGAAGTAAAGTATTTTAAAGAAAAAAATAATACAGTATTTGACAGTTGTATACAGTTAGACAGGGAAATGAGAAAAAATAATATACGGATATATGAAATAGTTAGCAAGTTAGTTAGCAATAACTGAATGCAAGCAGCACAAGACAGAGACAGATAAAAAGAGCTGAGGGAGAAATATGTTCAGCAATGGACGCATACAGGTTGATGATGATGATAGTGAATA